GGAACTTCGATATTTTCCGAACCCAAGGGTTTGGTAAAACGCTTAAAGATTTCCACGCGAGTTTTCAGTCCATTTTACTACCATGAAATGCGTGATATGAAGTCACTCTATTGCCCTACTTATTTGACTTTGAAAATCCGGATGTTTCATTAAATCTCGATTTCGCAGGCTATTGCACGGCCCTTTTTAGGAAACTCGAGTACGTTTCCAACTCAGGATTGTAAAATAAAAATTCCCTAGGAAATGCGGGTTTTTCGTAGGTTGGAAGCATACACCATATTGTGGCTCTAGGCGCCGCCTTGCTCAGGTCCTGCAGGCGCGCCCTCTGTCGTCTGTAGACGAATGTGGACCTTTCCGGAACCCGAGTGCGTTCAAACAAGACTGTGGCCATACTGACCACCATGGAAGGGATGCCGACAAGATGACTGGGCGCTGAACGTAGCCGAATGTTACTTCTGAAAGGGTGAATTTTTGCCACATTTGGGACAGACCAAGTGAACATCAAGCATCAGCTTTAAAATCGATCTGGCCCGACATGAGGCTAACATAACAATGGAACGTGATTTATGACTTGAATGTCGTGGAGCGACGAAATTTACAGAATAACGGTTCGTAACTTGTGAAAAGCCGCATACAAGTTGCATCCTTAGCCGGGCAGTGACTCTGCAGCGACGTTTTAAACGGGCCGGGCTGAGAAGCAGACCTGCGGTACAGCAAAACGTACACAGCTCACGGTGGCCAATTTTTTATATGCCGTTACATAAGAAAAGTTAACCAGGAGTGCTCCTCGCTCTACCCCAGCGACGCAATGAGCCGTGCGTTAACACCAGAAAACATAAAATCAAGACGCGGCACTCCCGCCTAGGAAGAAGAAACAAACATAAGTAAACAGGCTAAGAGGTGGTGCAGACCCGGCAAGAATGATCTTATGCGATAGGCAAGGACAAATTATACGTGAGAAGGCTGAAGCTGGCCATGGTCAAAGTCCTCTCATGACAGCCGGCTGGAACCACCGTAAACTTCTACCACCCATTACCACCCATTCACGTTGTTAGAGTTATCAGTCACGCAAGTCGGAGGGGAAATTACCTGGTCATTTTCATGTTGGGTCTTGGACTGGGGCACCAGGGAGCTCACCCAACTGAGCGGAACTTGTTGCTGGGAGAACCCCAGTGAGTGCGTAGTTATAACAGAAGTTTTGTGCCATCCCAACTGTATTGCTGTCACCCTGTATTCACCCCAACTACGTCGATTCCACAAGCTACAAGTTGTATTGCATTCCACAAATTTCAACATGTGTAAAAACATGAAAACACAGATTCCCCAAATTTCGGCACAGTTCTCTAAACCGCCAAGAAAGAATCTGAGAAGAATCTTGGGGCCTGTGAGGCCACCTCGCAGAGGGTGAACCTTAGAACTTAACAAATTTGAGTGCCGCTCTGCTCCCTTCCTTCCTCTTTCGCCGCCCTCGTTATCCTCCAAAATGAACATGCGTTTTAATTCACGTTCGCTAGTTCGATTACACCACGGCGCCGGACAACATTACGTTTTAATGCGCAGAGTGATCGGAGGTAATCAAACCACCAGAGCTCCCACCTCTCCCAGCTTTCACAGAGCTCCCACCTCTCCCAGCTTTCACAGAGCTCCCACCTCTCACTTGTAAACGCGTCGAGGCATGGTCGACCAAGTAACATAAACACTGTACCCGGCGCCTGGTCCCATTGTATGTCTCATTTACCAAAGCGGCGCCGTCCGCACCGGCTTGTACGGCCATCGTCTCAGGCGATCAATACCATTACTTTACCTGCGTAGCCGGTTCTTCATGTGGTCGCCATAAACAGATACCTTTGCAAGCTCTTCTCGGAGAACCGAAAGTTAAACTCGCAGCGATTATTTGCGGTAGAATGAACGCAAAGAATGCTTGCAAACACCTGTGCGCCAGGCGAAGTCGGCACTGGGACTAAATGAGAACATAAAAAGCAAGAGGTCATAGAAATATCCCGGGGGCCGCCGAGAGAAACACAACGTAGCCGTTCTAAGTCCATCTGATGCCAAGGAAAGGCGGGCGGCTATTGATCCCCCTGTCCGTAGCTGGACTTCCCAGTGCTGATGAAAAGATCGCCTGCGTCATTACCGACCACAATACGCTGTTCACCAACCCCTGAGGAAAAGGCATTTCCAGCTTCAATGAGAACCCCAATCCCCAGAACAATCAAAACTACCAAGAAAATAACTCGCATTGAACTCAAAACCTCCAAGGAAGCCAATTGGCAATCGTCAACTGCACGCGGTACAGGTCACTTGTGTGGAAGCTCTCCCCGACTGTAAGGCGCTGTAAGTCAAGCTGAGAGAGGAGGATGAGATCACGAAACTGTGCACACGTTCAGCTTTACTCATTGTGACAAATAACTAGAGAAAATATTTTCATTTGTCTCAAGACTTTGGTTACCATTTCCCAACGGTATATTAATGAAAAGTCATGGGTGACGTGGACCAAATTACCAGCCTTGAACACACTAAGGACTAGCCAATTTTCAGACAATTTTTGTGTGACTAAGTGCACTGATGCCACATCAGCGGACCCTCACTTGTGACATTCGCATGGAAAACACTTTCGAACGGGTTGGTCCAATCTATTGGTATCGTTATCTGAAGGTATTCAACGCACGGCGTCCATGAGTTCCACAAGTTCACGAAGCACTTCGAACTTCATGTATTCACTTCTTCGAAGTTCGGTCCACTGGTTTGACGCTGGCGCACTTGTTTCATTTATGAGTGCCAGGTCGAGATGACACTCATCTCAGATGACCTTGAACAGGACGCGGCAGACAGCGGTGGTTCGTGCTAGTTTCGCCGCCGTGATCCACCAGTGTGCCTTGGATGATGATACATGACACTGAAGAAGCGTAGAGGCTCATGTGGTACCACGGCACCTGACTTACACCACGCACCCACAACTTTTTAGTGACGACAGTGGCTTGAAGTGAAAAGACGGCCGATGGGAAGTCGCCGATCCAGACTTGAGGCCCTGACTTTAACTGTAGCACCGCGTCAGCTGGTACAGTCCGCCCCTACTCGCAACGTCAGCTGGTACAGTCCGCCCCTACTCGCAACATCAGCTGGTACAGTCTGCCCCTACTCGCAACGTCAGCTGGTACAGTCCGCCCCTACTCGCAACGTCAGCTAGTACAGCCCGCCCCTGCTCTTCAACGGCGATTTTGGGATTGCACTTTTATGTACTTGCGTAAGTTGGTTAATCCTAACTGGAGCCTGTTCAAATCAAAACAGTCGCTTGTGCGGATCGCAATCCCAACGCATGAACTCAGCGCACTCGGTAAAATTATCGCCCTTCGCGAAACTCCTGATCTCCGTAAAACTCCTGTAACTCCGTAAAACTCTAGTAACACCGCAAAACTCTTGTAACACCGTCAAACTCTTGTAACGCCCTAAAACTCTTGGAATTCCGTAACGCAAACTCTTGGGTTTCGGTTAAAGTCAAACAGCGGTCATATCTCGCGGCCGCCAGGGGCGGTTAGAGTGAATATTCCCCTCCGAGTTGCAAGGGCAGCTTCCAAACCGTGCCCGGCTACAGGCTTGTTTCGGTGGTCACATCCAACCTCCTCCACACTCATCTAAACTCGTCAATTCTCACACCCTGGGGTCCATATGTGATCTTGATCTTGGTGCGACGATTCACCTTATTGTAAAGCTCTGACCTTTTGGGAGGACCACGCGTGTCCGCTGATGGAGCCGTAGCCCACGGACGGAGCCGTGCTGGAGACGAGAGGTTGCAGATTTCATTGCGATTTCGTACACTTTGTCTATCGCCGGGGTGCAGCCAATTTTTGCTGGCATTTTGGGGTCTGGTCAGTATGCGCGTGTGTAATGTTAGTCACAGCTGGCTTTTGAAGTCTGGTCAGTACGCGTGTGTGTAATGTTAGTCACAGCTGGCTTTTGAAGTCTGGTCAGTACGCGTGTGTGTAATGTTAGTCACAGCTGGCTTTTGAAGTCTGGTCAGTATGCGTGTGTGTAATGTTAGTCACAGCTGGCTTTTGAAGTCTGGTCAGTACGCGTGTGTGTAATGTTAGTCACAGCTGGCTTTTGAAGTCTGGTCAGTACGCGCGTGTGTAATGTTAGTCACAGCTGGCTTTTGAGGTCTGGTCAGTACGCATGTGTGTAATGTTAGTCACAGCTGGCTTTTGAAGTCTGGTCAGTATGCGTGTGTGTAATGTTAGTCACAGCTGGCTTTTGAAGTCTGGTCAGTACGCGTGCGTGTAATGTTAGTCACAGCTGGCTTTTGAAGTCTGGTCAGTACGCGTGCGTGTAATGTTAGTCGCCGCTGGCTTTTGAAGTCTGGTCAGTACGCGTGCGTGTAATGTTAGTCGCCGCTGGCTTTTGAAGTCTGGTCAGTACGCGTGTGTGTAATGTTAGTCGCCGCTGGCTTTTGAAGTCTGGTCAGTACGCGTGTGTGTAATGTTAGTCGCCGCTGGCTTGCGTTGACCCGCTTGCAGCTGACATTTGGAAATCCCACGCTGACTCGGACAGCGTGCCCAGCAATCCCAGCAATTTCACGCTGACTCGGACAGCGTTCCCAGCAATCCCAGCAATCCCACACTGACTCGGACAGCGTTCCCAGCAATCCCAGCAATCCCACGCTGACTCGGACAGCGTTCCCAGCAATCCCAGCAATCCCACACTGACTCGGACAGCGTTCCCAGCAATCCCAGCAATCCCACGCTGACTCGGACAGCATGCCCAGCAATCCCAGCAATCCCACGCTGACTCGGACAGCGTGCCCAGCAATCCCAGAAATTCCACGCTGACTCGGACACGGCTGACTCGTGCCCGCACGCGTTCGTATCGGAGGGAATTGCATGCTCAGCCAAACCGGTCCGGAAGCAGCAGCCAAATCCCTAAAGTTATGACAGCGATCCGACATGGTGCTGCTAAGCCGGTGACACAGAGACCTGCTGGCCATAGCCTTCCCTCCGTGCGCCTAGGTTGGATCCGGGAGGTGGCAGCACACCAGCCGGACGACCATGATGGCATCCACGCTTTTCATCAGCTGCATGGCTCTGTTAGCACACTTTGGTAAGTGACATGGATGCCACGCTCGTGTATTACATTGTATGTTAGTAGTTATAATTATTGTATACTACCATTGTATTGTGTATTTTATATTATTGTGTACTATTATGAGATGAATCTTGCTATGTTATAATGCCAAAGAATGAGCAGCCGAGGGTCTTTTTCTTGTATGAAGTATCGTAACTTATCTATTCTCTCAGCGTCTGTACAGTGAGCACGGACTTTCCAGTAACGGGCCTCACGTCGGGGCCTCACGTCGGGCCTCACCTCGGGTCTCACCTCGGGGTCTCACCTCGGGGTCTCACATCGGGCCTCACATCGGGGCTTCAGTTCGGGGCCCGACAAATAGAGGATTGCGGAGGCGCAGTCAAGATTTTCTTAAGTGGGGGGGGGGGGGGGGGGCGGACCCCGCAGAGTATTGAGCACGCATCACGCCGATTTCACACTTTCTTTCGGAAGCCATCTATGGTGGAAAACGAAAAACTCCGGGTGTAAGGGCGCGGGGGGGGGGAGGGAGTCCCCCCTACCTCCTCTTGGATGCTCCCTTGGATGTTACGCCTTCCGAACGAATGCCGGTTTTTTCGTAATGTGCGACGAAATCTGACGCTATCTTATATCAGTATTTTGTCAATGTTATGAATACTAACGACACATGTTTCCATTACGCCGTGCTGTTATTGCGTAGCAGCTTTCATATCCGGCGTTCTATTCTTTGCACATGGTTCCTCCAGAACGGAAAGTAAGTTCTAGTATAGCTCGTAAATGGAGAACATGGCTGTTACTTATTTGATGATGTGCGTCCTCATCGGTTGATAATCTTGAAGAGCTGCGCACGTTTGATACCTTTTTGCTCTGCAAGGAACTATTAGATTAAGCCTCAATGATGTTTAGCACAATTGTGCCTTGGATCTAGCACTGACATCTTGGATCTAGCACTAAAACCTCAGATTTAGCACTGAAATAGTCAGCGTGCGTCGCCGACGGCATCGCCGCTGCCGCAGGCGTTCGTCAGGCGATGGCGGGCAGCCCGCCGTCCGACCACCTGTGGGACACGAAGCTGTACGAGCACAACGACACGCACTCAATGCTGCACCTGAACCACACGGAGCTGGGGCTCCACGACGACTTTCTGGTTGCGAATGGTAAGCGTGTTCCGTCTCCCTGGTGCCGCGCGGTCAGCGGGCGCTGGCTGCCGAATGCTACACAGTGAGCTTTACCTGTTTTCATGGCAGGAGGCGGTCGGAAGTATGAAGGCAGTGTTCCACATTGGCATGGGGGCTTGAACTGAAATAGCCACCTCGAAGATCATTCGGGGCAGTTAGCAGCCCAGTCCTTCTTAAGATGTAGCACCTCCTAGCTTCTGAGCTTCATGAACGCAAGATGCGCAGAATATTTATGACGCAATCAATCGCACCACGCAATCAATTAGTGACGCATTCGTAAGCGTATTTACTAAATAGTGAAACCATGCACTCTAAGGCAGTCTTTTGCACTTAAAAGCACACCATAAGTTGTGAGCTTATTGCATCATATCTGATACCTGCCTCAATATCTTTAAATGCGAAAAACTTCCTCTAAGAGTAGATTTGCTGTTACTTCTCCGGTAGCCACCGCGACAGCTCACGCCCCTGGTACGCACACGAATAACCCGCTGTCTCTGACACAGATGTCCTGCAGGAGATGCCGTTCACTGCCAAAAGAGTAACTGCTGTGTTTGAAGGGCACGGAGAGGCCCTCACATCACGAGGTGAGCTGACCCTGACCCAGGCTGACCCCCTCACATCACGAGGTGAGCTGGCCCTGACCCAGGCTGACCCCCTCACATCACGAGGTGAGCTGACCCTGACCCAGGCTGACCCCCTCACATCACGAGGTGAGCTGGCCCTGACCCAGGCTGACCCCCTCACATCACGAGGTGAGTTGACCCTGACCCAGGCTGACCGTCGCAGCAGTTGGCTTCCTTCATTTTTTTTTTTACATGCGGAAATAAACTGCAGCCAGGAGAAGCATATACTCTGATGGAATGATAATCTTCATCGCCTTTCCGTAAGACTGACACGTTTCCAGTTGTGAAAAACGTAAAGTTTTTTATGTAATCTCTCCGGGACCTCAATTAACTTTTGCTCTGCACAGTTGCGAATGGATATTTAGAGAACTTTCCATTGAACGTTAACGGACAGGTACGTCTCACTCCATATTTTCATTGGAAGGTTAATATTGCTTGCCAATCAGTTCGGGTGACAACGAAAGTTGATCAATGGATCAATGCCCAAAGTTTCCACTTTTTGATTAAGCTTTACATGGAATGAAATTTGGTGGCAGAATGGTACGTTGAAAGAAGAATAATTGTTTTGCCCTCTGGTGTGCGTGACAACTTTGCGTCCCCGGACCTTCGGTGACCACTGTGCGTCCCCGGACCTTCGGTGACAACTGTGCGTCCCCGGACCTTCGGTGACAACCTTGCGTCCCCGGACCTTCGGTGACAACTGTGCGTCCCCGGACCTTCGGTGACAACTGTGCGTCCCCGGACCTTCGGTGACAACTGTGCGTCCCCGGACCTTCGGATGGAAGCCTTGTGGGAATTTGGAGATCTTTCTTCACACAAAACCCATGGGAAAGTAAGGTAATAGAAATATCTGGAAAATTTCGTAAAAGCGCACTTAAATCTATGCATAAGCGTCGTTAATATATCATTGGATTTTGTTTACTTTCAGCCAGTCAGGATCGGAGCGGTTACAGGAAGCAAAAATACCCAGCATTATTTACAGCCCGATGCAATTCAGGCGCTGGGCATTGTTAGCCGCTGACAGCTAAGCAGACACGGTGATATGATGTCGTTGTCAGCCACTGACAGCCGAGTGAACACAGTGATGTGGTAGACACTGTCAGCCGCTGACAGCCGAGTGAACACGGTGATGTGGTAGACATTGTCAGCCGCTGACAGCCGAGTGAACACGGTGATGTGGTAGACATTGTCAGCCGCTGACAGCCGAGAGGACACGGTGATGTGGTAGACATTGTCAGCCGCTGACAGCCGAGTGGACACGGTGATGTGGTAGACATTGTCAGCCGCTGACAGCCGAGTGGACACGGTGATGTGGTAGACATTGTCAGCCGCTGACAGCCGAGTGAACACGGTGATGTGGTAGACATTGTCAGCCGCTGACAGCCGAGTGGACACGGTGATGTGGTAGACATTGTCAGCCGCTGACAGCCGAGTGGACACAGTGATGTGGTAGACATTGTCAGCCGCTGACAGCCGAGTGAACACGGTGATGTGGTAGACATTGTCAGCCGCTGACAGCCGAGTGGACACGGTGATGTGGTAGACATTGTCAGCCGCTGACAGCCGAGTGGACACGGTGATGTGGTAGACATTGTCAGCCGCTGACAGCCGAGTGGACACGGTGATGTGGTAGACATTGTCAGCCGCTGACAGCTGAGTGGACAGGGTACGGCGCCGTGGTAGCCATTGTTAACCGCTGACAGCGGGGTGGACATAGTAATATGATAGCCAGTCAACGTTAGGCTCCATCCAGTTGCCCTGAGGCATAGCCAATAACAAGCTGTGGTTGCGTGCGGTTCGCTGATATCTCCGTGGATCGACAGCCGGAGATTGGGTTCTGGAGAAGCTCACGATATTGGTCTGCATCCGGCTTCTCTCGGCGCAGTTCCCTGATTCTCACGATATTGGTCTGCATCCGGCTTCTCTCCGCGCAGTTTCCTGATTCTCACGATATTGGTCTGCATCCGGCTTCTCTCCGCGCAGTTTCCTGATTCTCACGACATTGGTCTGCATCCGGCTTCTCTCCGCACAGTTCCCTGATTCTCACGATATTGGTCTGCATCCGGCTCCACTCTGCGCAGTTCCCTGATTTTTTTCTGTCAGGCAGTGATCTCTTTTCGTTCAGTAGCTTTGTTCTTGCATGGGCCGCAGCATAATTAAGCCGAGAGTTAGGCTGAGTTTCTGCGCTGCGGCGGGGTGGCGGGAGAAGCCGTAACATGCTGAAGCTCTGGACTGCGGCTGCTCTGAGCTGTATCTGAGCTGTCTGAGCTGTCTGAGCTGTGTCTGAGCTGTGTCTGAGCTCTCTCAGCTGTCTCAGCTGTGTTTGAGCTGCCTAAGCTGAATCTGAGCTGCCTGCGCTCTGGGTGGCCGCTCTGAGCTGTGCCTGAGCTGGCTTAGCTATGTCTGAGCTGCCTGCTCGCTGAGTGGCTGCTCTGAGCTGTCCGGTGACGGCAGCCGGCGCCGCCTCGGAGTCCTGCCGGCACGTGACGAACGCGTGGGATAACTATCCTACGGAATGACGGCAAATTTCTCGCCTGAGAACGACGCTTGAACGGCGGCGATCGCCCACTGAATAGTTCTCTCTCGTCCTCTTATTCCGGTGAAGTGTGCCTACACGCCTCCTGACACCGCAGATTCAAACAATGCGGTTCTGCCGACGTGTGTGCTGAGCTGATTGACTGCTGCGTATGACGCTCGCCACATGACGCGTATGACGCATGGAACGGCCTGCCGATTGGTCCTCGTCGTGATGACGTCACCGCTGACGCGTGCGGAGGTCGGGAGGCTGACCTGCCGGCTAGCGCGCGCCAGGCCGAGCCAAGCAGTCGAAGTCCAGGCAGTCCCTGCCAGACAGCCATCAGATCAGAGCCTGTGGCGATGGGGAGGGGGAGGGGGAGGGGGAGGGGCAATGGCTGCTATACGTGCTCTGCGGCAAGCCGCGCAGAAGGCAAAATGTTCTCACAACGTCACTGATGTCGAATTGTGCGTAACTGCAGCCAAGCCCCTCCCCTTTAGAACTTGGGATGCTGGCCTCCTTTTATCTACTTAGCGCATTCCTGCCACAAATATACCTAAGATGATCGCCATTCAGCCGAAGTAGAGCGGTGACCCCCCCCCCCCCCCTAGCCTAGGCGAAGGGGCAGTCTTAACTCAGATGAAAAGACGCCCTAAACCGAAAAGAGGGCGCCCCCTGAAGAGATAGTCAGAAGCTCTTATCTTCTGAGCGCCGCCGGAAAGCTAGACCCGAGCGGTGCCAGCGTAAAGACCTTTTAACACCTGCCACGTTAAGAATTAGTAGCGTCTCTACAAAAATACCGAAAGGCATTTTCGGTATCAACATATGAAAACATTGCACACATTTGAAACACGCTAATGCTCGTCTGGGTTATGATACGTCACGGTGACTGTTTAAGCACGCCAATGTCCGTCTGGGTTATGATATGTCACGATGACTGTTTCAACACGCCAATGTCCGTCTGGGTTATGACGCGTTACGATGACTGTTTAAGCACGCCAATGTCCGTCTGGGTTATGATACGTCACGATGACTGTTTCGGAACCGATTAGAGTTGACACGTTTTTCTACGAGCTCAAAACAATGGAGGTGGATTAATTAATGAAGGTGGACTAGACTTAATGCCCTTCGATCATAGGTACGAGCCTCGGGACGCACTTTCCAGGTATTTTGCACAGTTTCGCGATAATCTACAATCCCTGTCGATAATGCTTGGTATAAATCCCGTGTCAGTCGCTGTCCGGAGCGATAACGGTCTGATGGAGCATGAAGTCAGTATTTTTCCTTTTTACGCCTTTGGAAACAATTGGTGATTTGGTAAAATAGTAATGAACCGACCGATACAATGAGAGAGTGAAGGACATCAAATCCCTCCAGTCCGACGACTGTGGCTCCATCTACAGCTGACGGAGGCTCAGGAGCTCTTTTTGAGGGTTTGCCATTCTAATCACATTTCTGACCGTGTCAGGTACTACAAGCCCAGCTGCACCTCTCGCGCACGGAGAGACTTCACTATCACTGTCACCCAAGGGGACAAGCAAAGAAGGGGAAACACCGGCTACCACAGCTGCCATCTATGAGCACAGTGCACAACCCTCCAGCGCATTACTGTCCTCCCCTACGGCGGAGACAGTGGACTCGCCGGCGGCGGCAGCCGAGCCAGCGTCACCGTCCCCAGCCGCCGCTGGTGTCACCACTGCGCGGCTGGAGATGACGGACGCCGCGCAGGCGACCGAAGAGGACTCGGCGTCGCTGGAGACGAGCAGCTCAGAAGAGGACGAAGATGAGGACGACGCCGAGGCGCCGCCGACGCGTGTGAACGCGTCCTCGGTGGATGTGGAGGACCGCGAGGCCGAAATGGCCGCCACCAACAGCGATCACAGGTGGAAGGTGACGACGTTTACTGTCGTCATGTGCGCTGTTGTCAGCAGCGTCTTCGTCATCATGGTCGGCGTGTGGATCCGGAGGATGCGGTGAGCGCACAGGACGATCCCGCGCCCAGTTCTCCGGGAGGGAGCGGCGGGGGGGGGGGGACGCCGCCAGATATCAGTCTGTAGCTGCGAACTGCGGGGTTTACGTCACGACTACGTCACGTCACGTTTACGTCACGGCTGCTGACTGCGGGGCACCAGAGGCAGCATCCTCAGGCGATCCTTCTGTTGAGATTCGGCTGACGTTCCTCAGACACCCAAGCCGGTGACCGCTGACCGCTGGGGGTGGGCGTCACTTGCTCGTTCTGGGCCTCAGCAGCAGCACGTCGGTCACAGTAACGATGGCACGCTCATTTTTGTTCCAGGCGATTCGAAAACCGACGTTTGTTGGAAGAGGACGATGAGGAGTTTACCGTCTTCAACGTCATCGATCACCACTACCCGGCGAGAAAGGTAACTAAATTGATAGAAAAGCTTTGAGACCATTGGCGTTACCAATTTGCGGTCTCAAGACACCTGGAAATGTGATTCAGTTCATTACTGGTGATAAGGCCACGTCTCAGTCTGCGGGTCCGGCCGCCGGGGACAGCGATGTTTGATGTCGCTGCGACGTGTTTGGGCTGGTTTTGTTATTGTTTGTTTGTTCATGGGGAGCGTTTTGAGAAGCACATGCGTTTTGTTTTTGCTGTTTCATCTCGTGGTGCTTTGTCTTGTGTTTTGTGGCGTTGTGTGAGCACATCGACTGAATTCGTGATGACTACCGTGTGCGAGGCTTAAGAAAATGAGTGGCTATGTTTAGGGTTAGGGCAAATATCTCAATTTCAAAGTTCTCTACTTCCTTGAGCATGCACGCAGCAGAATGCAAAATTTATCTCGATGCAAACTTTGATGGTTTTAGAATCTTCACACAAAACGTTGCCAGGCTACTTGCGTTCTTGCGTTGTTTAGGAGCTAACATCGCTACAATATTTGTCAGTGTTGTGCTTTTGCCCGACGTGTACGGTAAGACCACGGACCTTCAGAGCGCTGACCATGTCTTTCGCCCGACGGTAAGAGCACGGACCTTCAGAGCGCTGACCATGTCTTTTGCCCGACGGTAAGAGCACGGACCTTCAGAGCGCTAACCATGTCTTTTGCCCGACGGTAAGAGCACGGACCTTCAGAGCGCTAACCATGTCTTTTGCCCGACGGCAAGAGCACGGACCTTCAGAGCGCTAACCATGTCTTTTGCCCGACGGTAAGAGCACGGACCTTCAGAGCGCTAACCATGTCTTTTGCCCGACGGCAAGAGCACGGACCTTCAGAGCGCTGACCATGTCTTTTGCCCGACGGTAAAGGCACGGACCTTCAAAGCGCTGACCATGTCTTTTGCCCGACGGTAAGAGCACGGACCTTCAGAGCGCTGACCATGTCTTTTGCCCGACGGTAAGAGCACGGACCTTCAGAGCGCTGACCATGTCTTTTGCCCGACGTGTTCGGTGAGAGCACGGACCTTCAGAGCGCTGACCGTAACTTTTGCCCGACGGTAAGGGCACGGACCTTCAGAGAGCTGACCGTGTCTTATCACTTATCATCTTGAAACATTGTCTCAGGGACGCTTTGTCTTCAGGGACGCTTTGCTTTGCCTTGTCTTTGCCTTCGACAGCGTTAAATAAGTTTTCCTATAATTAACTCGGTAAACTGGTCATTTTTGCTGGGTATGAATGTAGTCGTGCCTTTCAGATCCCCTTTTCTGTCCCGACCCACGCGATCCTTTTTGTCGCTACCACGCCCCCAGCAAAGCAGGATTTCCAACGCAATTGCAGTTCTCCATCATATTTTTTCGTCTAATTGCTACAGATGCTGCAGATTACAACTTAAGTAATGTAGCTAAAAAAGAGGCCCCTTTCTCTCTCTAGGCGCCTCGGTTTCTAGACGCTCTCTCCTCGCTGGTCTCTCTCCTCTCGCTCGTATCCTCTCGTCTCGCTCTCCTCCGTCGCGTCTCTCTCCTAATCCGCTCTGCTCTCGCACTCGTCTCTCTCTCTCTCTCTCTCTCTCTCTCTCTGCTCTCTCTCTCTCTCTCTCTCGTCTCCTGCTCTCCTCGAGTCTCTCTCTCTCTCTCTCTGCTCTCTCTCTCCTCTCTCTCTCTCTCTCTCTCTCCTCTCTTCTCCTCTCTCTCTCCTCTCTGCTCGCTCTCTCTGTCTCTCTCGTCTCTCTCCTCTGCTCTCTCTCTCTCTCTCTCTCTACTCTCTCTTCTCTCTCTCTCTTTCCTCTCTCTCTCTCTCTCTTTTCTAACCAACACGGTTCACAACACACGCGCGCACTCGCAGGCACGCTAGCGTAGGCATAGCGTGGGCATATAAATATAAATATATATATATATATATATATATATATATATATATATATATATATATATGTATATATATACATATACAGCGTACATATATCTTCCTATATAGCGTAGGCACGCTATACATGTATGTATATATATATATATATATATATATATATATATATATATATATATATATATATATACATATGTATAGTTAATATTTCTATTTGGACATACGTACGCTCTTACGTGGACCACATGCCGCTCCGGCAGCATGTTGTAGTGCGGCGATGGTGCGGTAAAGCGAGGCCGGCGTACGCCGCTGTCTAAAGGGCTCAATAGGACTGCTTTTTGAATGTGCAGGGTAAGCGTCGTTGTTGTTGCTAATAATCTGAGAGAAAGTTTAGAAACTAAACTTTCTTTTAGTTGGAGAAAGTTTAGTCCCAGCCTTTTGATTTCATGCATTTTTTGCAAGCGCCCACGCTTAGCAGTGCTTGTTGCATGGAGCCATGTCGCATGGGGCCTGACCGCCACAATGCAATCGTGAAAGTCCGGGTCAACACCAGAATTTGACGGCGAAAACGTAACTTACTGCACTCCTCGGCATGCCACCCTGCCCTCTGACGTCACCTGACCTTCAGCACGCCCGCTGCCACCGACAGCAGGCCACCCTGCCCTCTGACGTCACCTGACCTTCAGCACGCCCGCTGCCACCGACAGCAGGCCACCCTGCCCTCTGACGTCACCTGACCTTCAGCACGCCCGCTGCCACCGACAGCAGGCCGGTGGCAGGGCGTCACCCTGACCTCTGACGTCACCTGACCTTCAGCACGCCCGCTGCCACCGACAGCAGGCCACCCTGCCCTCTGACGTCACCTGACCTTCAGCACGCCCGCTGCCACCGACAGCAGGCCACCCTGCCCTCTGACGTCACCTGACCTTCAGCACGCCCGCTGCCACCGACAGCAGGCCACCCTGACCTCTGACGTCACCTGACCTTCAGCACGCCCGCTGCCACCGACAGCAGGCCGGTGGCAGCGGGCGTCACCCTGACCTCTGACGTCACCTGACCTTCAGCACGCCCGCTGCCACCGACAGCAGGCCACCCGCAGTCAAGGGCAAAAACCGAGCACCCTAAAACGACTCGAACCCACCCCACCATAGATGCGGAGGTCGGAAGGCAGGGGTGTTGTAACAGGCTGAGGTACCGCGACGGATGCTGTCTGTATATCGTGCCGTTGACACAGTTCAGTGTATTCAGTTCAGTGTATACAGTTCAGTGTATTCAGCTCAGTGTATTCAGTCCGGTGTATACAGCTCAGTGTGTACAGTTCAGCGTATACAGTTCGGTGTATACAGTTCTGTGTATACAGTTCAGTGTATACAGTTCGGTGCATACAGTTCAGTATAAACCACTTTTATTTAACTGGAATCTGAAACCAGTCTGCCGCATTGCTCAGATCGTGTTACTATGCGACAGACAAACGTGTGTTGTCAGTGCTATGAGATTGGGCCGCGATGGCGGTGTTTAACTCCCGAGGCGATGATTAAGTGTTCCTTGAAACTGCGTGCCCTTGCACCCAGTGATTGTTCCCTTTGCACTCAGTGACTATTCCCTGGTTAAAAAAGCACACAGAAGCAAGGCTTTTGTCAGCAGTCCTCATCAGCAGTCATGAAGTCATCCTGCCATTTCTAAGTCATCCCGGAATTACTTTCTGAAAAGAAGAACGCCCGATGGTGGCACTATGCAAACCCTTTGATGGGGTCCCGTCCGCGTTTAGACCGGTCACTCAGTGGCCTGACGGGCGGGCTGGTGTCCACCAGTTAACAAGAAGGAGCGGCGTCTCATGCTTGCCGACTCCGTCCTCGAGGGCAGAGTCTGTACTTATAGCCAACTGATCTCCATTTGTCGTTAAGAAAAACACGATCACGAGCTGCTTTTATTTGCTGTAAAACATCGAAAAATTTGTGTGATTCCAACTCTATGCAGGTGCGAGACAGTGCATTGATTCCTACGCAACAGACTCGAGGGGACTTGTGGCAGAACAGTGGGTCAGCAGGTCCTCTGAGTGGGGCATTAGGTGAGACACAATATGCCATCTCATCTACACATTGCATCGGCACACCTGGGGTCCCAGCGCCCACGAGTTCTCGTCTTTGATCATGTTTCTTTTTCAATGCAGAAGAGCCCTTGGGCATAGTTGGGAAGAAACTACGATTTAGAGTCTTTCGAACAATGGATAAGTGTACCAGCACGTCTCCACGTCCAATGAAATGGAACCAAGTAACATCCATGACCCGTTTTATTCTACCCCGGAACATGTTTTGTCCAGAAGGCTTCGCCCTGCGCGGAAGAGGCGGTGGCTGTGGTGGATGGCGGTAGCGGTGCCGATGGCTGGGGGTCCACATTTGGGAGGCAGACTCTGTGGGGAACACGAACAACACCAACGCGCTTATTTGTACATCGCTTTTATTTGCGGATGGAAGAATGAACTTAGATAAAACGTTCGTTCTAATGTTCCTTACATAATAATCTGCAGCACGACAGTGAATGGAAACGCTGGTTCCCCCGGTAGTTCTCGTCAGGCAACATCTTTTGTCGAGAAGTTAGCGGACGGTGAAAGTTTATGTATGTTCAGGACCACCTTAATCGTAATTAAGCTAGAGCACAGTACGGGGAACCAGAGGCCTAGCTGGGACCAAAGTTGTCTGGGATAATATGCACAGGGACACGTGTTCGGCTGAAGAAAGTTTGAGTACGCATCCGCTCACATACTGAGCGCAGGGACACGTGTTCGGCTGAAGAAAGTTTGAGTGCGCATCCGTTCACATACTGAGCGCAGGTCGAAGCGAAATGACTAAAGCTCTTATCTAGCATGCAGTCCACCTCTCCTATGGACGCCATAATGACCATAGTAGTCCGTGCGCCTCAAAGCCCAAATCATCATCATCATCATTATCATCATCATCGGTCTATCTCTCATTCAGCATACCATATGTCAAGTGCCGTGCTTGATGAATGTATGATCCGTGACATAGCGTTGCGCGCACAAAGCCGCCACACAGCTCACGCAAAGCTTTGATTATTGAGTTTTGGCCAGCAGCTGCCTCGCTCTTGAGTCAAAGCGTGACTGGGAAGGCCTCGCGCTCCATGCCTGTCGGAAAGGCGTGGAGCGCGAGCCTCGATCACGAGGCGGAAACTTCGACCCGGCCCAGCCCGTGACGTCAGACACCTCTGCCCGTGACGTCAGACACCTCTGCCCACGACGTCAGACACTTAAATCCGTGACGCCAGACGTTTCTGCCATTGACGTCAGACACCTCCGCCCGTGACGTCAGATACCTCTGCCCATGACGTCAGACACTTTTGCCCGTGACGTCAGAGCCTGCCTCTGTGCTGAGCGGGCGCCATCTTCTGCGCAGGTGGACCAGTACTCGCCGCTGCCGTGAGGACCGAAGCCAGCTCCGAAGCAGGCCCAGCACTCGCCGCTGCCGCGAAGATAGAAGCTAGCTCCGAAGCAGACCCAGCACTCTCCGCTGCTGTGAGGACCGAAGCCAGCTCCGAAGCAGGCCCAGCACTCGCCGCTGCCGCGAAGATAGAAGCTAGCTCCGAAGCAGACCCAGCACTCTCCGCTGCTGTGAGGACCGAAGCCAGCTCCGAAGCAGACCCAGGACTCGACGCATGACGCCGGTGCTGCACAAACGCGAGAATGCCGCGCGATAATGAGAGAGAATCGCCACTCGAGGACCTCCGTTCCCAACAAGTAACGGTCGTGCACATGCTTGTTCCGTGGGCAGGCCGGTTTAGTCGCCTTGTTCCGTGGCAGGCCGGTTCAGTGGCCTTGTTCCGTGGGCAGGCCGGTTCAGTGGCCTTGTTCCGTGGGCAGGCCGGTTCAGTGACCTTGTTCCGTGGGCAGGCCGGTTTAGTGGCCTTGTTCCGTGGGCAGGCCGGTTCAGTGACCTTGCTCCGTTGGCAGGCGGACCAGAACTGAAGTTCCGTACACTTGTGCACTGGGAGGACTGTAATTTGCGTCATTCTGCTTACGATGGATCACTGCACTGCTTCGCGCGATGTCGTTAACCCGCCACATCATCTCTCGCACTGTCGCGTCTGTCCGCTCTCAACTGCAACAGTTTGTAAGAGAACTCTCGGAGAGTCTGCTGCAGGGCGGTATGCGACTCCCTTGCGGCGAGCTGGCAGCTAATTCCCAGTAGCCAGTGGGAGCAGCGCTGAAGAGGACCAATGGCCGAGGCCTTCACATGCGGCACCGCAGCTCTTCCCAGAGTCTCCTGTGTGCTGCTGCACACAGGCTACTAACACAGAGGAGTTCGTGATGGTCATGGATGCCGTGTAATATTCAGGCTACTAACACAGAGGAGTTCGTGATGGTCATGGATGCCGTGTAATATTCAGGCTACTAACACAGAGGAGTTCGTGATGGTCATGGATGCCGTGTAATATTCAGGCTACTAACACAGAGGAGTTCGTGATGGTCATGGATGCCGTGTAATATTCAGGCAGGAATGTTGTTATATGTTTGGTTTTCAGGGCTGTACAACATGTAGCTTTCAAATATCTTATGTCGGCATATTAACACACTGATCCATTAATACATCTCTTATCAGGGGCGTGGTTTTCTATTCAGTTGGGGAGGGGGCCTTCAGCCCCCGCTCCAACATTGAGAAGCAAGTGGTCGTAATGCAGGGGAGAACCCTGCTTTTTTGCCGTATGTTGGGTCGGGCTGCGTCGCTTTGCGCTACTTCGCATCACTCTCCCAAAACTCATTTTGTGAAGTTACGCTTCTGGCTCTCATCCGATGTCTACGGAGCTGATGTCGGTAGCCCACGCAGAAATGTTTAGACACAGTACAAATCGAGCTCAAGCGCAGCACCTGGACGGTACCATGCATGCCTACTTATCTACAAAATATAAAGAATCGTAGGTGGGCACCGTTACTAAAAATAAAGCTTTGTTACTAGTTTCTGAGTTACTTCAGAACGGTGGTTACTTTACGTGTTACGCTGTTGTTCTGAGGAAATACAATCGAAGCTGCTTTCGTCCACTTTTCTGCTACGTTTTTAGAGCTCATAAAACCAAGACAATATTTTTTACATGTTTCCTAGAGCAGTGGTATTCTTCAAAAGCAGCAGTATGAATCTGGTGAAAAGACAAACCACTGCGTGCATACAAGAGATGACTTGAAGACACCGCTTCGCTCGTTAGAACTTCACTATGAGCTGTGCAGCATGAGCTCGAGAAACAGTTTGCATGGTCGCCATGCCGAGAAATGGCAATGTAAACAATGGACATAACCCGGCTTCCTCCGCACTCGCTCTGTTTATATAACACGCGAGCTTTGAACTGCTCGAGTAGCGTTTAGGATTGTTGTGGCACCGAGAAATGGCAACGCGAACAAGCACATATGAAAAGTAGTGGATCTACGTGATTTGAGTTGGGTGGGGGCAATATAAAAAACGCGCACTTTGGTGCTGCTTGCCTTGTATCTCTTTCACAAGTGTCTCATCCTTTCCACCCAGTGCCCCCTTCACAACGACTGCGTCATTCTTTCTCACGTAGATTGATTAAATACAAGCCTGTCGTTATCTATCGCGGACAGGCGCGTGCCACTCAATATTAAGATACTGAACGCTACAAATGAATCTCCCCTGGTGATAGGCGCAACCATTCTCCATCCCTTCGGTTTCAGCATATCTTTCGGAGTACCCTGGTTCAAGTATGTGCTTGCACCTGCCATGCCCGGAGTTCTAAGCACATGTGCCGCATTCAATGGCAAGGTCGGCTGGTAAGTGCGACCGCAGGTGCCGCTCAAACTCGTCGGACAGGTCGGCACCGGGGCGCGCAGCGGCGCGAGCCACCGAGAGCCCCCTCCAGCCACACACTGCGCCAATCGTAGCCGGGTATCAAGTACACCATTATGAACATCTCGCGCAACGCTTGCGTGCGATAGATGTGCGCTGCATGTGGGTCAGACTAATGCAGCCGTTTTGGGTTTCACGCGTCAGTCGTCGAGAAGTTGGCGACGGGCTACCGCGGCTTGTCTTACTGCTCGTCGCAAAAACACACGTCTGCATTATGGCCCTATTTCTGCGATCCTAGCGGGAACACATCATTGGGGGAGCCCTGTGATATTAGGCGCGAGGGCCGCAGTATGGCGCTGTGATAATCATCGGGGAAGTCCTGTGATACTGGGCGCGTGGGCCGCAGTAGCGAAACACTCTGCGACACGCTTTTATTGTCCTGCTCCGGGCGGCTGTCCAACGTCCGGAAACCTTAATTGACAGTGGACGACCGGCGCACTTCATGCGCCAGTTATACCGGATCCGATTGGGCAGACGCGCCAGTTACATCGGATTCGATCGGACAGACACGCTAGTTATACTGGACCCGACCGGACAGACACGCCAGTTACACCGGATCCGATTGGACAGACACGCCAGTTATACCGGACCCGATCGGACAGACACGCCAGTTACACCGGATTCGATTGGACAGACACGCCAGTTATACCGGACCCGATCGGGCAGACACGCCAGTTACACCGGATTCGATTGGACAGACACCCCATTTATACCGGATCCGATTGGACAGACATGCAAGTTACACCGGATCCGATTGGGCAGGTGCGCCAGTTATACCGGATCCGATTGGACAGACACACCAGCTATGCCGCATCCGATCAGACAGACACGCCAGTTATACCCGATCCGATTGGGCAGACACGCCAGTTATACGGGATCCGATTGGACAGCCACGCCAGTTATACCGGATCCGATTGGACAGACACGCCAGCTATGCCGGATCCGATCAGACAGACACGCCAGCTATACCGGATCCGATCAGACAGACACGCCAATTACACGGGATCCGATTGGGCAGCCGAGCGAGATGAGCGGACGGTGTTTGCGACGAGCAGCTGCTGCAGAGATCAGAGCAGCTGCTGCTGAGATCAGAGCAGCTGCTGTGGAGATCAGTAGTAGCCCACGGAGCGTCGATCTCGCCGGGTTTCTTATTTCGGTTCTAATTTCTAACAGTGCAGCGATTTTCACGCTGGCGTCATCGGACAGGAAGCTTATGTGGTCTGCACGACGGCCACAAATATATGTGCAATATGCAATATGTACATAAGTATGCAAATATGGAATTCACGAAACCCCAACGTTTCCGTAAGGTTAATCAAAATGACCAATGTCTTTTCCTACGAAAGTGCGTTTGCGTCTTCACAAAAAACAATGGGGCTTTAAGGGCGCGCAAACATTAAAACCTATCCACTAAGAAAATGAAGAGACACAACGGTGCCTGACGAAAACGTACCGATGTTTTGTTATATTGTGCCTACTTGTCATTTTACGCTTGCAAAGGTGGCCTCATGGCACCTGATCATAAAGTACCGCGGATGTGAAGTAACGAATAGGCACATGATATCGAAATAAAAGTGTTTCTGAGTTACAATTAAGTCACGCTAGGCCGACCTGACTGGAAATTGTCCTACCCAGGCTGCTTTTGCTTTAGCTTATGTGTGTTTATCATAATGACCAACGCACAACAGCTTTCGTTAATGGCTATTGCTGACGCCATTTGAGAAAAAAAAACCGCAAAAGGGTATTACGCATCCTCCTGGCAGGGCACTAAGTTTTCAAACGTCCACCAAAGCCTGCAGCAAGCTCCATAATTATCTCTCAGGGTGGAGATACAGGTTGGTCGGAACAAACTACCACATTAATCCTACACGAAATTAATATAAGCACGGTTGTGTGTTTTCGAGAGCTTTATCGATATTCCTGACAACATGAAGCATGTTTTACGTCAGGTGATGTTTCTAAAACGATTAGAAATTGATACATGGGACGTCACACCATCGACCCTTCTGGCGTTCCTATATATTGTTCATATTAGGACATGTGTGTTGTTAAGAACGTTACAAATGACGCAAAAATCCCGCATCACTGGTCCTACTTGGTCTATAGGCCACCAGAATCTTAGGTTGGTTTGGTTCAGAACGCATATCAGCTCGGCTTGGTCCAGAGCATATCAGGTCGGCTTGGTCCAGAGCATATCAGGTCGGCTTGGTCCAGAGCATATCAGGTCGGCTTCGTCCAGAGCATATCAGGTCGGCTTGGTCCAGAGCATATCTGGTCGGCTTGGTCCAGAGTGTGTGAGTTCCGCTTGGTACGGAGAGTGTCAGGTCAGCTTGGCCCAGCGCGTGTCAGGTCAGTTCGATCTAGCGCGTGGCAGGTCGGTTTGACTGAGGGCGCATGTTAGGTTGGATTGAACGGTTCGTTACAGCGCGGTAGCCACACCGTTTAAGTTCGACTTGTTTGGCAGGAAGCCTTGCAATAAATGCTAATCTCCTCCTTACAATAGCGAGAGTTCTAAAATAGTTTTAACTTTGTGTAAATATTCGGGCACTGCGCATGATTGCATACCAAACACAAAACGCAACGGACACCATCAAGACGCACCAGAGCAGAAGCAAGAGTAAATAATTACACAAAGACTACATCGTTCACACGCGACAGCCTACAGACACAGCCTCACTCGCGATGACGCTCAAAAACTACGGAGTTCATAATCATGATCACAACGTGAAGAAATGCTTCTGTGCAGCGAAGATTGGTTTCAAATTAACCAACTGACTGACTTTACGACTGGTCAGTGGCAGGAGTCTGGACTGGACGCCGTTCTGCGACTGGCATTTTTTTCGGACATGCGTATCCTGGCAACCACTGTCAGCGGTGCCAGAAAAAGTGCTAACCGAAATCGCCCAGCTATTGATGCTCTGGCAAAAATGCTTTATCTTACGAAACATCAGGGACCATGAGAAATAGATTTATAGCATTTTGTAAAGACATTTATGTTTTGTTTGGATCTACCACCTAGCTTTCAAGAACAACGAGAAACAGTGTTTTGGAGCAGGAAAGCTCAGGCCAAAAAACCTACATTGTCGAGCGTATGTTGGATGAAAGCGATGAAGATGTAGCGAAACCTCCCCAATATTTTGTGTTTGCTTCTTTCTGTTGATTCTACGCATTCTTTTTTGTAAGTAATTTGGGCGTCATCAAAGCCGTCTAATGGTCATAAGATCACCATGTGGCTCAGGGGCTTAAGATCGCATTTTGTCGAGGATCTAGACTCCTCGGGCCGCGGGCAAACCTCAGCTGAACCCACGAGCATACGCTCCGGCCCCTTCCCCTTCTCCCACTTCCACCTTACTCTGTCGTAAAGACATGACTCCCTACAAAATGCACGTCATACTAATGCAAATCTCACAGAATGCACGCCCCCTTGAAGGATCTTGGAAGATGCAATATCTTCAGACTCATTCAACATTTCTAATTCCCTTTTGCCACACAGTCCTCAGATACCAAAGGAAAACATGAAGGCATAGTAACCCTAATGTACTCTTATATACCTTGGATACACACACATATATATATATATACCCAAGGTACTGACAAGGAGAGAATTGGCATCTAAACCTAGATCTAGGCTCAGTTGCATTCATTCAGTACATTCAAGCTTCATAGCGTTTAGCGTACCCCAGGCTGGTCAATCCTGCGCTCATTGCTTTCCTCAACAGATTTGGCGAAACTATAGCCCTGATGGGAA